ACGTTGCCATTCAATTAAATCCCACAAATTACAGAAAATTCTGTTACGAAAAATACTTTAAATTAATTATTAAATAAAAAAAAATTAATTTTAATTTTGAAAAAATTCCAACTTAATCTACTCGTTAATGATAGAAGGCAAATGATCTCAGATCAAATTTTGATTTTGATATGATGAAATCCGTAAATGAATTTATTTTGCAAAGAAAAAATTATTATCAGAGTTCACTGGTAGATTTATTGAATCAAGATGTAAGCCTAACGTACTGCAAAAAATCAAAGAACGTAAAAGTATTCCTTTTATTAATTTTTCAAGTTTTGACAGCATCAAGTGACAATAAGCTTATATGCATCTCAAACAATATATGGTACAATTTTTTACTGCTAAAAAAGTTCAATTAATTCAAAAAGCAATTTTTTACTGCTGAAAGTTTAACTTTATTATAAATTTCTCGTGCTTTAATAATTTCTAAGCAAATAAGCAAATATTTCTTAGCAAACAATAGACTAGAAAATGATTTGTTTCAATTATTTTAGGAATTTGTTGTGCGACCCACCATAAGTCTCAGCATGTATTCATAAATTTTTATAACTGTCAAAAAAAATAAGTCCTATTTCTTAAGAGAGTGACGGTTCACAGCTGATGAATTTATACGTGTTCTTATAGGAGCTAGAGAGAACCTTTTTTAAATGTCAGTGGAATTTTACATATGTATTACTTTTCAAAGCGAAGCGTTTCGCCGTGCAAAATTTATTTTTATCGAGTACAAATTTTTATTTCATACAATGGTGTATTACTTTAAACAACATGAAAATTCAAATTGCAATGGAATGCAAATTTCATATTATTTTCAGGATTCTGGGTGTCATTGAAATAAAAACATTAAATACAACCATATATACGGGTACGTATTATGTAATTTACAAATAACTATGTAATTATATTATATTTTTTCATTTTTCTTGTTTGATAATTATTTTTAAGTAAAAATTTTTGAAAAGTACACAGGTATGTATTTAAGTTACAAGTCACAAGTAAGTGTTGCCAATGTTGAAAAACTCGTTCAGAAAAAAAATCTCATATGTATTATCTGCCACCTGTTAACATTTTTAAGGTCACGACCATAGATAATAAATAACCCATAGATAATAGGATATCTGTCATTTATGGTCACGACAGCGCTACAACATTTTTAAAGCTTTGTTTAGTGAGAGTGGTGACAAAGAGACTTATTTATTAAAATCAAAAAACTTGTTGGTAACCCTGTAGTAAACGAAATTTGTAATTAAATTTGAATTTTTATAATTTTTTTTGTTATTTAATTTTTAAATCAGACATTTACATGTGAAATTAAATACAATTAATAACTTTTTAAAAAACTGAAAAAATGCAAGAATAAAGAAGAATTTTGAAATTTCATGATTTAAGATCTTGATTCAAAAGTAAAAATCTTAATATACCAACTTTGATGCAGAGATCTGAATTGTTCACATTCGTGTTGGAATAAATTACGAGATGTATTTGGCTGTAATGTACTGCATTGTGTAATTTACTTAAAATTTTTAATGTTATTTCTTATTCTGTTGTAGAATATGCAAGATAACAATAAAAAAGTGACTACAAAAGCACAAGATGAAAAAAAAAATTGGCTCAAATGTAATTTAATATTTTAAATCAGGAACCTGTAGGTCTTATGCATCATTTATGATGCTTTCATAATTAATTTTTTAAGACATTTTCGAGTCATCAAAAAAAAAAAAACTTCTTTTATATTAAATATTATTTCAATGCACATAAAATACTTGTTTGTGTAATTAAGAATAATGAAAGGAAATGATTTAATAAATTTTTTGTAAATGTAATAATTTGACAATGAGGATGCGCTGTGGCAGACTAAAAAAAATGCATGTGTGTAATTGAATTGAAAGCAAAAAAAATTAATTCTTTGACTTATAAATTTTCTTTAAAAAAAATAATATTTTCCATTATGAAATTTTTCAGGTATTACAATAATAAAGAGTATGAGACCGATATTTATTGTGTGTTACCGGATCATGTACTACATATCTCTTAAGTATATGTACAGATTGACTAAATTCAGAGTCGCATTTATTAGCGTTACAATCCCAGATTGAAGTTTTAACAAGAAACACACGCTTACTATTAAATATCTATGAATATATTTTTATACCCTAATGGTGCAATGGACCAGTGTCAGTATATGTAAGATATCTTAGTCTCATTATCTTCAATAGAAATTAATTGTCATATTGCTTCGCTATATGGTTTCGCCGGATTCTGGAATATTTCCTCAAATTGAATTTAACATTGTAAAAAAATATCAGATTTTATATTTAAAGATACCATAAATATCTTCTGAGCTGATGGAATAATGCTCTGATGAGTAAACATGACTGCGTGATGTTCATAATTTTGCATTACACTGGATGAAATCGAAAAATAAAATGAATATGAAATGATTTATTTACTTTTTACTGGAGCTGGGATTGAGGGATAATAAACAACAAAAGTTAAAGTAATAATTTTTGATACAATTTGAATGGCAGTAGCAGTTATCTTAAAAAGGCTTGCTTTTTAAAACTACACTAACAATTATTTGCAAACACAACTCAAATATTCTTCCACAGAATGTGAATCGCATTGCTTACTTGTTTACGTTTCATCAATGGTAAGATATTTTTTTCTATGTAATAAGCCTAAAAAATAAACCACTAATTTGATTAAATTCATTACATTTTTCAATTAATTGAAAAATTGTTTAAAGAAAAGACAATGTACATACATATAATAAAATAATTAAAAATTTCGTTTTTTTTTTTTATAATAAAATCTCTATGGGACCATAAAAATAACTCCAAGCTTAAAAGAACCTTGTTGTAAATTTTTTTTTTGAAAAACAAAAATTGTAATTTATTAAAATTCCGTCCCGCATAAAAATAAATATATAGAAATAAAATACTTCTGTATGTACATATTTTTTGGCATCATATAAAATATAAAATAATTATTATATTTTTTAATTAATTTGGTTTATTGAATTAAAATGTATGTACGTATAGATATAAAATTAAAATATGAAATATAAGAACAAAATTTTTGATATATTTGCAAATACCATTTAGGGTTCTCGCAATTCCAAATTTATTTGGGTTTATATAAAATTTTTAAGAATTTTTGAATTTATTATCAATATTTTCAATGGGTTCACACTACACGATTCTTTAAATTCAAAAAATTCATTTTACCTTGCAGACTCTATATTGTGGTTAATTTAAATGTAAATTATGTTTTTCAGAATTCCTGCTCATGCAAAACCGTATATATACTGCAATTTATATTTTAAAATTTTTAGGAAATATTACGGGTTTGTACATCATTATGAAAAGTTTACTTACCTGGTGGTTATTTTATTGCATACATAGAAAGAACAAATGCGCTTCTTCGTGGAACAGCATGTAGAATTTTAAAAGAATCAGAAAAGAGAATCACATTTACGTTTTTGTTTTACTATCCAGCATATTTTTCAAGATATTAGGGCATGGAAACTGTACATTTACTAGGACCCAGTTAACACTCTTTAAGCATATCTAAGGAAGTGATCAACAAAATTTTCTTAAATTATTTTTGTCAACAGAATAAACTAGAAAACTTTTTAGTGAACGATCACAAATTTAGATGTGATGATAATACCAGCTTAATAATTTAGCAATCAACATTCTAGAAATACACAATGCGGTCACTTTGTGCTAACTACATCAGAATTTGTTTCTATTTTTTCCAACCCTCTGGTATTCTTGTACGCGACAAAAATGAGTACACAAAATAAAATTTTATCCTGAACAAATTTATTCTTTTTTAACTGTCGAAATCAATTTTTTTTTTTCTGTGGTTCGAAAATCGAAAATATATAATTGCAAGTTTTTCATGAAAAAAAGTTTTCCTTTAAAAAAAAAAATTTAAACAATACAAATTGGCAGTGAAAACAAAATATTAAGACAAAAAAAGAGAGAAAAAGGAAATTTCAAAATTGTATAAAAATTTTTTTATAAATAAATTCAGAAGAGGTGCTTTTTTTTTAATTTATTTATTTTGTAATTTTTATTTCGAGTTTCATGAAATTACCCAGGAAAAAAAAACGAAACATCTCGGAATACAGTATGCAAATAATTTTGGTTGTATATGGCATTGGAAAAAGGAAAAGAAATACCAAATTGATTCAATTTATACAAAAGTTATGATTCACATCAATATTTTCAAAAAATTTTACAATAAATATAACGAATGGGAATAACGAAATTTGTACATAAATTTTTTTATATTTTATCAATTAAAATTTATATATAAGTACGTAAAATTCAATTGAAAACTTAAAAAAGAAAATTATTTTATGCAATTATTCAAAAAAAAATGAAATAAAATAATTGAACGAGGACATTTGAATTTTTCAGGAAGGAATTGAAATTGATAAATGATGCCAGAACGCAAATCAAATGCGATTAACAAAAAAAACTATTTTGTAGTATCAACTAGGCGAAATACATAAATTAAATCTTGAATTGTGAATATCAAATGAGAATTTAAGGACAATCATGAATTCCGCTTTTGAAAACAGTTAAAAATATATCAGATCCTTCAAATTTTGAACTTAATAGAAAATTCTGTCGAAGATAATTAATAATTTTTTGTCATATTTTTGAATTAATCCGAAGATTTTGATAAAAGTTGGATATCATGAAAGGAGAAAATTAAAACATTTAATGCATAAATCAATTCGGTATGTTCAGTTTCTTGAATCACAAGGAATAATCTGCTCTTAAAGATGTCAGAACCGGTGTACCGCAAAGAAGTATACTAGGACTAATATTAACACTTATACTGCTGTAACCACCGAAAAATGTTAAATACTTTAATTAATTTGCTGGACACAACAGTACAATAATTGAAACAGAATGACAAGTAAATGAAATCGGATCATTTGAACTTTAATAACAGAAAAATTAGCAGTTTGGTTTAAGCTCAAATTAATCGGAAAGTATTGAACATTTACTACAGATATGAACCTGTGAAGTGTAGTCTTTGAACTTCTGTAATACAAAAATTAGCAGTTCGGTTTACATATACTACCGATATGATCCTGTGTAATGTTTAGTCTAGAATCAATGGTTTCCAAATTAAAGGTTTGACCAACGTTATTCTATTAAAAATTGTTTGATTAGTGTTCTCTTTAAAAATAGTGTAGATTTCAAATTAATTTCTTTTTTTTTTTTTCAAATTTTCCTCAAAAAAAGTTTTTTCCTCTCAAAGTTTTTTCCTTTAATTTAAAATTCATAATCAACTTAAAATAACTAACCTATCATTTATTACGGTTGAATTTTTAGAAAATATTTTTCCAAGTGAATATCCTTTTTTTTATCTACTTTCTAAAAAAGCCCAAATAAGCACTTACAAAATGCACCTCAATTCTGATTAGGTTAAAAATTGTTTCAATTTATTTTTGTATATATAATAAAGATTTTTATCCAATTTTAACACAATTTTCTATAAATTTAATCAAAATTCAGATTATAAAATAAAAATAAATTATTTTTGTTTCCATTTTTTTTGTATAAAATCACGTAAATTATTTTATTCTAAATAACATATTTAATTTCACATTCCATGGTTTTTTGTTTATTTGAATTTAATTTATTTAGAAAAATCATTTTATGTGTTTTTGCTTTTGGAGATTTTCCAATAAATAAATTTTAAGTGTATCAATGAGAATTGCATTTTAAGCTCACAGAATCATGAGATTTACTTATATGTATATAGAGAAAAACTTGCCTTTCAGTTATACAAAAAAAAAATGTATTGATTTGAAACAAAAGCCAAAAATATAATTTGGAAATCATGCAAACACATATGTACATACATAAAATATTTTTTGCTACAAAATTTTTATTTTTTAAAATAAATTACTGCACATACTTGCCACATATATTTGCCATATTATAATACATTCGTAATAAAAAAAATATTAAATTTTTTCATCCTTTTTTTAATTCTATTACAGTTTTCCCGGTACATATGGTTAAAATATTAAGGAATCAAATCAGAATCAAAAAATTAAATGTGGCTGTTATGTTAAAAGTTAAACTGTTAGTTCAAATGTATGTATTATTTGGTAGAATTAAATACTTAATTCTAAGTAGCAAGCTTTGTATATTTATAGCATTATTATTTATAGAAAGGTGTAGACATTACCGAAATTAGCACGTTGTCACATACTATAACTAAAAATATTAAAGCAATTCCGAAGAAATATACTACAATTGAGTTTGGGGATTTAAAATAACTTCGTGAAAGTAAAGATCAACAAACAATATATGTAATAATGTTAACAGTTCGAAGAAGATCATTGTGAAAAAAAAATACTTCACGTAATACAAAAGAAAAATGTAAGCTATCGTAGAAAATGTAATCCGCAAGATAAACACGTTCTGCAGCAGTTAAGTATTTATTTCAATTTCATTACAGCTACATAATTTTTCAAGGACCATATAAAATTTTCATAATTTTTTTTATTTTTTAAGGTTGAATACCACAAAAGCCACTTACTTTTTTCCATGCAATTAAAATAAATTTAAACAAAAATCCGATTTACATACAAAATTCGATTGTTCGCTTTCAAAAAATTTAATATCCTTGTATACTATCAAATCACAAAAGAAAAACTAAAAAAAAGGATCAAAATCTATAAATAAGGCTCAATTTTTAGAACAACTGAACGTGCTGAAATTTAAAATTGAATTTGAATTTTTATAAATTTGTTTTTGGTACGCTCGTACACGTGTACCGGAAATTTTTGTATTTTTCTTTTTTAGACAAAATAACGATCAATGACTATATATGTACTAGTATACATATTATATATATCGAAACAAAAAGGAAGGACTGTACACCTCAAGGACAACAAAATTATGTTTTCCGTTTTCTATCCTATACTTGCTATTGTTGTAATTTTTAAAAAATTCCGAGAGTTACAAATTTAAAACAATGAAAAGGGAGGAAAAATTGTATTATTTTGAACACGTATCGGTTATGATGACTGTAACCATCTGAAAATGTCACACCAAAAATAAATCACTTGTGTATACCAATAAATTTTATAAATTTCAAAGAATTGAACGTGTAATTTTGGACGTAAAAAAATTTTTTTTTGATTATTAAAATTTGAAAATATTTGAAAAATATTTTTAGCTAAAAATTTTTAATTTCGAAAAATTTCGTACGTACAATTATATTGAATTTGATATTTGTTACGCTAGCAATGAAGTATTTGACACAAAAACACCCAGAATTTCCATTATATAAGCATGGAGAATTGAAATTCATTCATGTACGTGAGTGGTTCAGTATTGCAACATTTAATTTTTGTGGTGGAATAGACCTTTCATGAAAAACGTTTGTATTTGGCTGCTTCCTTTTTCAAAAATATAGTAAGTAGAGGAATTCTTATTTTGTATTTAATTTTTAGGCTGACAAGGAAATTGATAAATAATCTTCAATCCTCTTGTCAATCTCATACGAAAAAATTAATTACCTTAATAAAAATTAAATGCAAAATAAATATTTGTACATTTAATAAAAATTAAATGCAAAATAAATATTTGTTTTTACAATAGTTAAAGATCTAACATGCAACAATTCATAACGGTATTGTTTGTTTATCTATAATTAATTAATTAAAAATAAACAAAATTCGTCTTAATTAAGATAAAATCAATTTTATGGCACAAAATTAAATTTGAATTAAATTTAAAATCCCTCACAAACCGCTCACCATTTTTAACCTAATTTTCTTTTATTAAAGATATTTTCAAATTTACCACCATCCAATTAAATAATTATTTCTAAATACATACCATATATATGTATGTATATATTATGCATATATTTTGTAAAATAAATAAATATAAACTATCACATTACGTAATTTATTTTGATTCAAATTAAATTATTAAAATCAAATTCTAATTATTTTTTAATAAACACAATAATTCTGTAAATTTATGTTGAACATTTTTAATATTATTTAAAGTACATATTGATAAAGTATATAATTTCATTGTTTTTACAGGTTGTATGACACTGGAATGTTGGTGTTTCCGTGTCTAAGGTGGTGGAGTATGAATCAAGAATCAATACCGAACAAAATTAATAATGAAATTGCTCCTGTTCAGAGATGCGATCAGCTGATTTTTAGTTTGGTTATAAATTTTGTAAGAAAATTATTAAATTTTGCTGCAAGGTCTAAACTTTAATCGATATTTTCATTTTGATATGTAAACAGTCATCAGATTTTGTCTTAGATTTAATCATGGATTTTGTTGTGGTAGTTTTTACACACCTTGCGGTATAAATTAGAAGCGAAATCAGTAAAAGATAATTACGGGTGAGTGAAAAAAATCATTTTTAAATTTTTGGCATCATCGAGTTTCGAACACACTGTTTAAAGCACTCACCACTACACACACATATAAATAACCATATATAGTATATAACAGAATATTTATTTTTTTTTTTGTGTTTTAATAACTTGCAAAAAAAAATTTAACCACTAATATTATTTAATTTAACCACAATCTCATCACAAAATCAAATTTTCATTGAATTTTTATTATTTTGTACAATTTTGTATTTTTTTTAGTGATTATTTATGTGCATACTTTCAGTGTTATATGTTTGGGAACTTTAAATAAGCTATCGCTGCTACTATAATTTTTCTATTATGCAGTTTTTTAAATTCTAATTTACTTTACTCTCTTATTATATTCTATTTTACCTTGCAATTCCTAATTTGATTTTCATACATGAACCAATTCACATTATAAACATTTAAATTGCATTATTTTGTCACTTCTATTTATTTTAAATGAAAATTAAACAAAAAAAAATAACACTTTGCCGACCACAAATTCTTGTCAATTTATATTATAAAATTTTTAAATTTTAGTTTATATTTACATATGTATGTATGTGCATACATAATATATTGGTCAACTATTTACTATTTTTTTTAGTTCATAAGTACTGTTATTATTTATATTGTTGGCTTATAAAATAGCAGTAAGAATATTTTTTTTTGTTTTGTTGGTTTTATGGTTTTCGGTAATATTTTGATTATTTATAATAATTTTGACACTCCTTTGTAAACAAATTAAATAAATATATGTATATATATGTATGTGTAAATACATAAAGAGCTGCCATATATCACAAATTACGAAAAAAATCTAAAACGAACACATAACATAAAAGTACTATTATAACAACAAAAGTACTATTAAATTTTTCTCAGAAAGAGCTTAATTATCTAAAAATTAAAGAGAGTTAAAAAAACACAAGATTATTTGAATCGGCTGCATTAAATTCTAACAATCTATTTTCATTTTTACAAAAAATGCAGTTTTTTAATAATTTTGGAATATATATTTGTCTTTGACATAAAATTCTAAAATGGCTAGATATGTACACCCATGTTTTCCAAATGTCGTGATATACATACAAATTGCAATATTATTCAAGATTGAGTATAAGTGTCGCAGGAAATATGTATGCATATAATATATGTATAAGCACCAGTAACTTTTTGGGAATGAAGGAAATTATTGGAAATATTGTGTAAAAGCAAAAATTTTGAGCTGCTTTGTATACATTCACCGGCAATTTGTTCAAATTAATTTGTCTGGCAACACTCATTTTTAAAGAATATAATTTTGTTTTTTGTGTGTGTGAATAATTTTTCTATATTATTATAATTTATTTTGTTAGTTTATCATTTAAATAATTTAATTTTATTATTTAGAATACCATAAATTTGTTTTGAATTTTCGTGATTATAAAATTTCAATAAATCATGAGCCACATACGTTAATATATTTATGCATACTAAACACAAATCTATGCATATGCCAGTGTATATACATATGTACATAATTTAGCCATATTGCAGGCACACCAATAAAATATAGAATTTTGCCAATAAACTTATATGGTATGTATGTATGTACATACTATGTGTAATTATTACAAAAT